GGGGGTTCGCTCGACCGTTGCTTGCAAGATGATATGGTGTGGAGCGTTTTCTTGGTGTGCTATTTTGATGTCGTTTGTTCCATGTTCGTGTATCGGTGAGTATGCCCATGTTCTTGTCCCACTCTAAAAAGAAATAAGGCCAAACGAAATCGTTTGTTACCTCGACTGATTGGTTGACGAGTGTGAGGGAGCGACCATGTTCTCTTCTTTGGCTATGTTTCATAGCTGCTATCATTAGTTGAGCTAATATTCACCGAACTCGGATGACATCTTGTGGGTCTTTGGCTTGGTGTTTTTTCTGTCTCCGCTACTTGGGTCTGGAAAGTCCCTTCAATCTGATTGGCAATGAACTGAGAGTGCTAGCTCCAGATCCGATCTCAGCCTCATACTTAGCTTCGACGTTAGTTGAATCTGGGCACCTTGTGGGATGATGACTTACTTCACCCGTTGGGATCTCGAGTTCAAGTCTCAACCCGATCCAGTCCCGAGAGCGTGAAGATACAAAAACATAGGCTGCACCACAAGCATACAGGCGAAAGGATAAAGTTACAACGAACAGGAAGTAGAACTAGAACCAAGTTTAGATCTAGAGGAAACTAAAACTTTGGCTAGGAAATACCCACAGACGGCGCCAAATTGTTTGACCAAAAAGTTTCAAGCCATTTTGTTAAACTAATTAAATAAAAAGATATGGGGTAAATCCTAGCCAGAGATAATTTATTCTAGATCTGAGGTAGAAGACAAGAATAAACAAGCATAGCTGAACGTAAAATTTGATTACAATCGCGATTGGATTCCATAATGTAATAAAAGGAAGATGGTTTCAATAATATCAAATGATAACAAAGAATACATAAAGGAAGAGAATCACCATTCTTGAACAAGATAGACTTCCATATATTAGATAGAGTTGAACTACAAATAAAAATGCCAGGATCCTGAGATTCATCCCCTTTTTGGCGAAGAGCCTGAGACGATGGAAACTCCTCTCCTTTATAGGGATGTGTGTCTATATCTATGTTCCCATCAGCCCCCTTTCTTATTCTCTCTCATGATATTTATACAAAACACTTCTCTTACCCAGCGGTTCTTAACCGGAGTACCTAAGTTATTGGAATATCCTCTAGAATATTCCCCTGAAATGTCTAAGTGTCGGACTAGCCATTCGGGTCGAACTAAGTGCTCGACCTCGATCGTAGCTGAATCGTTCGCTGATATATTGCTTCCTGTACATGACTTCGGCTTGGTTGACACCTGGTTGTTCTTCCTTAAGCAGAATTCCTTTGATCGGATTTTGACCTATACACCTTCTACCCTAATCTTCAACCTCCATACCCTCATGTCAAAGGCCATGTCCTCGATAAGCTGAAGTCGCTAGGGCTACTTATCGGGCGGATTGGGAGGTTATTTACTATTAAAGGTTTGGCTTATCGGTTATCGACTTTTAAATGTATTAATCCACTAGCCACTCGATAAAGCTATCGGGTGGATTGGTATCAGTTTAGCTCTTATCAGACGGTTTATCGGCCTAATTCAATCAAGATAAAATAAAATTTAGTCTCTGTATGTTTAAATAGGTGGTCGACGTACTAAGAAGGACGAAGCAGAAGAGACACCGTGATAGGTAAATCATCTGTCTAAAATCTTATTTATGTTTATGCACACCTTAGTCCATGTGAAAGATTTCCAATTGACCGTTGTTAAAACAAATGTTTGTCATGCTTAGAATTCTAGGATGCCTTAAAACCCAAGCAAAGTTGATGAAGCAGTGGTGTAACTGGTGTTGGTATATTATTTCAGACATCAAATTCTGTCTTTTGTCACAGTTAGATGACTCCTTTTATTTGGCTTTATTTTATTCTAATCCACTTTGATAGAGTACTGGAGGAAGAAGGGTTTTTGATTATTTAATATATATATGGATAAAAATAAATTTTATATGTATATATATATTCTTAACGAGTTAAGCGGATTATCCGTTAAGAAAATTGAATAATCCGCCCCCAAACCGATAAGTCGTTAATAAAAAATTTTAATATGTTCCCCGTCCGTTAAACTGTTAACACGATACTAATAAACCATTAAGCTTCGGTTTCGATTCGGTTTTGAACACCCCTAGAAGTCGCGTCATATCATGCCTGATCATAAATATGTACTTATATTTATAAAAAAAAACATAAGTTCAAATCTTAAATCCTAAATTAAATATAAATCTTAAATTGGTCTTACGCTTTTCTAATTAATTAACCAAAAAGGCTGGTTGAATTGTAGCTAGGGGTGTCAATGGTTTGGTTCGACCGGTCATTTTATAAAATTTATACCATATCAATTTTTCGATTATTTTATTATATATAACCAAAATTAGACTTTTCTAAACCGTCCCAATCATATCAGTTTATCTTCGATATTGGTACGGTTCAGTTAATTTTCGGTATTTAAATATCATGTAAAATTCACTAGTAGAAGTAGAATGCAATAACATATGTTCTTTTATAGGACTTAACAAAACTCTCTAGACATTTTTATTGTTTAAACTGATGAATTAAAAAAAAAATGAAAGATGGCTAGAGTATATATCCATCAACTATTCTACAATAACGTAAAAGGCAAGGAAATATAAATCACACGAGTGGAAAGATATTAACCAAGCTGAGACTCAAGAATAAAGTCTATATTCAATACATTGTAGCTTGTTATAAATGCAAACTATATGAAAGGAAACATATTCAATACATTGTAGTTTGCTACTCATAATCGCTAGAATACTTTGTATCTTGCTAATGAAGTTTAAGTAGAAGTAGCACAATAAGTTTTAGGAAATAGTATTTTGCGTTTAATTACTTGTTGGCTTGTAACCGTTTTCATAATTCCAAGCCCCAAAAAAAATTATATTATTTTTAAACTTACTATATAAATATATTTTTCACATGTAAAATTTATTCGGTACGGTTCGGTATTTTTTCGGTTTATTTTCAAAAAATAAAAAATTTACCCTAATTATCGGTGCAGTTATAGATTTATATAAAACCTACAGTTTCTTTAAAAAAAACCCTAAAAATCGATTCGGTCGGTTTAGTCGACTTTTGAATATCCATTGACACTCCTAATTGTAGCCTCTTCTGCTGTGTTTAGACGCCTTCACTTTCCTAATGAAGTTTAATAGCCTCATCTGCAGCACTAAGATAGTGATTATAATCAGAATATAACTTTAGACTTAATCGGTAAGAAATACCTCTTCAAGTGGAAGTGAGACACCAATCATACTTTAACAGTTAACTTTACACAATGATCAGATCCAACACTTTTGAACGAAAACATCAACGGACTCTATGAAAAAAGAATATATCCTTTGCTTTTTTTATTTTGCCCATTTGCTTACTGTCATCTTCGAATCAATCCCCTCTCTCAAAAATGTATGAATCCAAAAGAAAGGACGGTTTTCAATTGGAATCCAAAAGGCTAGAATTTATACCATAACTTATGACCCATGTTGGAAGCAGAATTTTCGCCAAAGGAGTTTAAAAAAAAAAGGTAAACACACAAAAAAATAAGGGGATTCAACATCTAATATATGCCGACAAAAAAATTTAACCTTATATAAACGATGCAATTTTTGGACGAAAGAGGTTCGGTTTAACCTCCTTTCGCGTGCCTAACTCTGCCCCTGCTTATGTCCACACGTCGAATCTATAATTTAAATTTGATAGGTTTTTATTTTTAAGGGTTTCAACGCTGAATCATCCTATGTTTGAAAATACTAGCTCAGAATTTAATACTTGACAAAAATTTATGTGATTTTTTACGTATATATTTATGTTTCGTCCCGGAAATACCGAATTCAATTGAACCGCTTAAAATAAGCTCCATCTGTCTCTGACCATAAAGTAGACAACACCTTTCTTTCTCTATATATAATCACATATTCCCCTTTGCTCCATATAGTCTTCAAGAAAAACCAAGGAAACCAACCTTGAGAGAATTCTGATTTCATCAGAAAAGAATTATATTTTGAGATTATGGGTTGGTTCATAGGAGAAAGGAGAGGGGTTAGTTGGAGAGATCAAACTCTAGAGTCAATATCAGCACCTCCTTTACCCTTAATAGTTTTATTTGGGCTAGTGATTTTCTTGATTTCTATGAATACTTATTCAGAGTATAAGGCAACAATAGAAAGATCCAAAGCTAGTTTGAAGTTGTTGTCTATCTTATTGCCTTTTCTTGTCATTCTTTTGGTGTATATCTTGCTTAATAGTAACAGATGGTTTTATCCAGTTGGATTTTCAAGGCCAGTTATATACCATTTGGCTAGCCAAGAAGGAGGCTCACCTTGGGGTTTGGTTTTGCTTTTGGTGCTACTTTTGGTCATGGTTCATTATCAAGATTCATTTCAATCTACTTGGTTTCGTATACTTTGAAGAAATGTTACCCTGGATGACAGACAGGGCGCGCTGTCAGTTTTCCGATACGAGATATCCTATCTTACGATCAGGCGAGGCAGAAATTATTTAGTTTGTTATATTACTATATACACCTTTTACATCTCTTCACAAACTCCTTTGGCAAAAGATATAACTTCTACACGATTAGGATTAATATGATTAGGTGCCTTAGTGTATTAACCTACCATGATTTGGAGTTGAACTGTTTCTCATTTGTTTAGATATCTTATATATAATACTTTTTCCTATTTGTTGCAGATATCGATTATTTCACCAGATACCTGTTATCTTATATATTTTTTCTTGTTTGGGGGGTTGGGAGGTTGG